AGAGAGAGAGAGAGAGAGAGAGAGAGAGAGAGAGAGAGAGAGAGAGAGAGATCCTGCAGGGGGTGACTTTTGCTGAAGGTGTGGTTGCGTGCATAAGCAGTTTCTTGCAGTAAGTGGTGTGAGACATGTGACACTGTGATGAGCTGGGCTGTGTTGATTTCTGACATCCATAATGCGGTGTGTTTTCTTTCGTGCTGTTGCTACAGATATCCCTCCTGCGCGCAGAGCCTCGGGACCTCACACAAAAGGATAGTGCCCTATAGAGGGGGTGAAAGGAGAAGCAAGGCCGTGTTCCACTGCTCCTGGCTCACCCCCTCCCACTTCCATACTCTCTCCGCCTTTCCGCAGCTCCATCTTCATTTGTGGGTCAGCCATCAGCGGCGCCAGGTGCTGAGCATAGCTGCTTGGACGGCTGTGAGTGCAACGTCGACTTCAACTACTAGAACAAATGAACCGGGACGCTTGGTCTGAGTCTGAAAGCCTAATTGCGGATCTCGGTCAAAATTTTGTGGCGGACAGGAAGTTGACTTTGACTTTGCATCAAGCGAAGCCCCCAACTCATCATCACCATCATCATTCCCATCCCGCCCGTGACGCTGCGTGTGCCGGCGTCCGGTCGGTCGAAGAATTTTCAGTGGGTCTCAAGGTCCAGCACGACGGAGACCTCAAGCTCCTCAGGGGGTGGTGGTGGGCAGGAAACCCCCTTTTTGACCCAGGATTTCATCCAGTTGCGGGACCAGGGGTGCCCCCCTTGTCATATACTGCAGAACCTGCCCCCCGACCCCTCTACCACCTGTGGGATGTCTTTCCTGCAACAGCTTCATGTCTGGGGCGAGTGTCTTAAGAACATAGCGGCTTCTGTAGGTGGCCAGGCGTTTGATGGATGCCAGCAGTTCTATGCCTCAGAAGACGACCCCCAAACTTGTGTAGGTTGTGGTTGTTTCGTTGGCTTTCACCGACGACTTGAATCGCACCTGCAGTCCTCTCCCAGCCCGTCTTCAGAGTTCGCAACTGCTCTGTCTGCTGTTCCCAACGCTCGCCACCACCCTCAGCAGCAACACCATCCTCATAACCAGGTCCACCATGAGGACCAGGTTCAGGTCCATGGAGGGGCACGGATGGCCGGCCCTGTACATCTGCATAGTCCCCCCCGCCTCCTCACCGCCTCCGATCTGCATCTGGATGTTGGCCTTGCGAGCTCTCTGTCCAATTCCGTCAATGGGTGCACGGACTTCACGCCTACGCTCGCTGCCGCCGTCTCCAGCCTCGGCTCCACTGACCAGAGCTCGCACATGGACATGGTTGGCAATCCTCTCCTTCTTGGTTCTGGTCTCAGCCTCGGATCAGAACCTACCCCTAGCCACCCTGCAAGCACCGTCACTGCTATCGACTCCAAGCCTAACTCGCTCGGATTCAATCCGTCGCTTGGGCTTGGCCCAGTCCAGTCACCTGGTCATCATGGGCACGACTTCGCTGCGGCTGCAGCAGCAGGGCTCAGCAACAGTCCCAGACTGAGTCTGGCAGATGGGCTGACCTTGATGGCTTCCACCGGTCAGAGGGTATTATCGGGGGGGTCGTCGCAGGGTTCCCGCACGGACGACCCCTCGGACATCAGCAATCACTCTGCAGCAGGGAGATTCAGCAGTTTCTGCTCGCCTGCCGCTGCAGCGGCAGCTGGGCTTGGCAATTCGGTCGTGGAACTGGATCTCAACGCCAATGGCATCATGGGGAAGAGGAGGAGGGACATAGGGGTGTTTGGAAAGCGCCGTTTTGGCCCCTGCCCGGGCAGCCGGGGTCGTCTACGGGACGAATACCCGGACGTGTGGGCTGATATTGCACCGGATAACAAGCTAACGGAAGAAGAGAGAGAGAACCTGAACACCACAAGTAACAAGACGCTTAGGTTCCGCTGCAGCAACGTGGCCTGCGGGAATGTGTGGGAGGCCAAGCTGAGTGGAATCATCCAGAAGCTGGAGAAGAGGAGGGCCAAGCTTGGTCCCTGTGCCAACATTGGGTCCCACTGCCCCGCCTGTGGAAAACTCAAGCGCACGGTTGGTAAGTATGGAACACGTGGCACACTGAAGGAGAAGTACCCTGCCATTTGGAATGACATATCGGAGGACAACGATCTGACACCGGAGGAGAAGGATCGCATCTCGGTCACATGCAGCAAGCATTACAAGTTCCGTTGTTCCCGACATTCCTGCGGACACAAGTGGATCGCCGCCCCGAACGCGATCGTGCAAAAACTGGAGAGTCGGCAGCGCATGAACACTTGTTTCCGTCCTGGTCCGGGCATCCATTGCCCCGCATGTGGCAAGCTTGAGCGCGGACGAGGCAAGCTCAAGGACGAGTTCCCTAGCATCTGGGCGGACATATCCCTGGACAATGACCTTAGCAGTGGGGAGAGGGATAATATCTCCACCACGAGCAACAAGCACATTAAGCTCAAGTGCAGCCGATCCGGGTGTGGCTACGAGTGGGTGGAGTCCCCATGCAACACTGTGCGAAGGCTGGAGAGACGCCTGGCACTGCCCGAGCATCTGCCCAATCGGGACTCCCACTGCCCTGAGTGTGGGGCTCAAAGGAGAAGACCAGAGAAGTTCCGCGCTCTGGGGTCCGCAGGCAGTAGCAGCAACAGCAGTGCATCCAATGCGTCGGTACCGCCAAGACCACCTCCCTCTCTCCCATCCTCTGCGCAGATTGCAGTGGCTGCAGTTGCAGATGCACTGCAGCATGTTCCGGGACTCCATCATCAGCACCATAGCCAGCAGCACCAACACCAGCAACAACATCAGGACCAGCATCAACACCAGCATCAGCACCAGCATCAGCACCAGCACCAGCATCAGCACCAGCACCAGCACCAGCATCAGCATCAGCATCAGCATCAGCACCAGCACCAGCACCAGCACCAGCACCAGCATCAGCAACAACATCAGCAACAGCATTTCATGCAACTCCATGCCAGCTGTGGGCCCCTGGACCATAACTTCATGGGCGATCGCACTTTCCCAAGGCTCACGGACTGACCCTCCGGTTCAAGCAGTTCGTCACGGCCAGGCTCAGGTATGCATGTCAATCGCTAGCTGTGAGGAGAACTCTCACTCTTGTAGAAACTGCAATTGTGTTTAATGCTCCGATTTGCTTTTTTACTTTATTCAACACCCGTACTGCAGTCTGGAGAGAGGGAGGGTGGGATTAGGGAGGGAAAGAGATAGAGATGGAGAGAGGGAGGGAGGGAGAGAGATGGGGAGGGAGGGAGAGAATGTTGAAGTGGCAATGGGGGCTTGGGAGGAAGGGAGAGTTGAAGTCATCATTGATGGACAAGGGAGAGAGAGAGAGAGAGAGGAGAAGGGGAAGATGAGTGAAGGCGAAATAGGGGGCGTGAGGGAAAGGAATGAACCCACTAGCGGTTCAGGAGGTAGAGGATCAGTGGTGATTCTGGTGGTAGAATGAACGATAAGGGAGAGCTCAGGGGGGAATGAGGAAGGGAGGGAGAGGAGGAGGGTGAGATAAGTGAAGGGCGGACAGGGGGTGAAGGAAAAAATGGAGCATTTTTTTTAATGTTAATAACTCACTGCCTTATTGGTCAGGACTTCATTCTCTTTGAGTCTTTGTCCAATGCCCAAACACTTCCTCAGTCCATTGTTCTTTTATTTTCCTTGTTACCTCAATATGTCCTTTTTTATGCTGAGCCTCGGAAAATAATTCAAGTCTTTTCTTATTAGATTCACGTCACTCAAGTGAAGGCTCAACTTCCGCTCAACTTTAGCCATATCTCTCGACCAGAGTCGACCTCATGATTATTGGACTCAAGTGAAGGCTCAAGTGTAGGCTCATGTGAAGGCTCAACTGTAGCCATATCTCTTGTCTTCGTCTCTCTACTTACCCAAGAGGACTTTCCATCGCATCCAAGTCTCATTAATAATGTCTAGTACTGTCTACCTCTCCTCTTCACCAAGCGTGACCAAAGGATATCTCTCGTCTCCGTCTCTCGACTTCGTGAATCGTGATCACTGATCATCTCCTGACACTGAGCCAGTGAGCCACTGTTTCTTGTAGTCTGTAAATCGATCTGTTGATTGATTTCAGCTCTATTCAACAGACTGAGTGCCGCCTCTGTTTTCTCATTGAACAGTGATTGGAAGAAGAGTGATGTGGCCGCAACATGTGGCTGGGTTTAGCTTGATGCCTTGAATTGCCTTCACTGAAACAGTGAAACTGCCATTTCGTCAAAATGGACTTTTTTTTTCTTTTTTTTTTTTTAAACGAAATTGAAACCGAGTAATTTGGCTGAAAACAGGTCGGACTCCAAAATTTTGGCTCCTGACTCCTGAGGGTTCCGCATTCTTAAACCACCAGTACTTGGCCCAGCTATCGAAGCCGAGCCTCCGAGCCCCCTGCACGCCAAGTCCTGCCGGAGCGCCATCGGTCGTTTTTGTTTTCATTTTGCCTGTGCCCTCCAGCCAATGCGGTCTGGTAGGCCGAAGCCCGAATGCCGCGGCGCGTTACCGGGAAGCGCCGCGGCCGATAGGAGCTGGGCCAAGGACTGGTGGTTAGAAACGTCGGAACCCCTGGATGTATATGGAGTCATTATGGACATTTCACCCTCAGTTAACTTTGTTCTATTTCGTTCTCTGGGGAGTCTGGGCCCATAGGCTTTTCTTTGTGCTTTCTTTTGTGTTAATTTAAAATGATTACCACAAAAATGCACACACCAGGAATTTGAAACTTTCTATCCCAAAATGAGGATGAAAGCGGTCCGGGAGACCATTACTACAGAAAACCCAGATAAATCAAGACTCTCACACCTGTGCATTGTTGTGTGTACCGTCACTCCCGTTTGTCTTGGGCAGGTTGTAATGCGTGAGAGGCAAAAACAGTTTTGTGTGCTCTTGAGGTTTGGGACATTACTGGTTCTCCTGAGACCACAGAGGGGACTCTAGGGAGAGGGACACTGCTGGGAAGGAGTGCCAAAGAGGAACATGCATCCAGGGACTCCGAGGCAATGGGAGAGAGAGGTAGGAGAGAAGACCACGGTGACCGACATCGACAGAGAGAATAGAGAAGCACAAAGACGAGAAGGAGAAGAGATAGGGAGGGCAGGAAAGGCAAAGGGGAACATAATATCACTTGCAGTGCAAGAAACAACACAGATCGTGAAACTTCTGAAAGGGCCAACCCGACCAAGCTATGTTCTTTGTACGAGTTTGTGAGGAGCAATCTCGGTCCCCGTATGCGGCCAATTCCATGGCACTTGGATGACTTTACGTGCCGTTTCCGGCATAATCCGGATTCGGGCAGCAACGGTGAACAACCCTGACATAACGTCCGTCGCGTTCGTCGAGTCGTCGAGCGTTGCCATTCGCAAACCGGCATGTGGCTGTGACTCTTTTTCCAGGAGGCCAGCGCTCGCCATAGCTCGCCTGCAGGATTGAACTTGGAAGAATCTGATCATGCGGCTTGGCATCTCTGGCTTCTTTGTCTTCTCTGCGTGTCAATTCGTCTTCTCAAACACGTGAGAGCTTGATACCCTTGCTGCCTTGCATGAGATTAGCTTCTTCTTCAGAATGTCCGTGGAGTCCATGTATTCATTCCTTCTTCTCCGTGGTTCAATGATTGTCTACTGATTTGAGAAACTCATTCCTCATTTAACTCTTTTAAAGAACTATGACAGGCACTACTAACTTAACCAAGGGTTCTGACCATGAGAACAAGCGGACTTTTACGACAGGAGGGGCCATCACACCATTTAACTCCGAGTAACCGGAGTTAGTACGCCGAAATAACTGCATTACACTCAATTTCACTCAAACGACTGCCTTTGGAATAGGCCGCAGCACAGTGGCCGTTAGGTGAGACCACTCCGTATAATACCATGATCTTTATCCAGATGCAGATTTCAAGGAGATGTGAATCATTACCAGGAAAGGCTAAGGATATATCGGATCCCCTTGTCTCATCAGTGCAAGGCATGCTTGATGTCCTTGTTCTGCGAACGAGGACGGGTGTGCGATTGGAGGTTGATTTTTGAAAGGTAATTGCACAATGATGGCCAGTCTGGCAGCCTAGCATCTTCACCCGAACAGAAAGCCCGGTCACTTCCGCTGCATTCGGACTGGAAATTGCCCTAAAATACAGCTATATTCACAAAGCCTTAGGGTTCTATTTGGGTGAAGACTGTACTACTGTAGCATTCTCTATAGCAAATAAATCGTTCATAATGAGAGGAAAGAAGCAGATGGTGAGGTTGTTGTTTCTAAACATAGCAATGCAGCCAATGCTAGCATGTCGGTGATGTCACAACTAAGCCATCACTTCGCTTTAAATTTGTCACATGGTCAGCTGGGCAGTCACCCGATCGGTAGGCAGTCACTGAATCATTTCCTGATCGCATAGTCACGTCGCTTAGCTCGGCTATTTCCTATGCGGCTATGCCTCCTTAGCTTGTTGGCTATTAGGCAGTCACTTAGCCTGGGCTCTTAGTCACTGTGCTTAGCTCTACTTCGCGCTCTCACTTAGCTTGTTGGCTAGGCAGTCGTATAGTAAGCTTACTGAGCCCGATCGCATAGTCACGTCGCTTAGCTCGGCTATCCACTGTCACTTAGTTTGGTTGCTACTAGGCAGTCACTACTTAGCCTGGGCACAAAGTCACTTGGCTTTGCATTGCTATGCAGCCAACTGTTGGTCAGGCAGTCACTTGGTCAGGTCACATGCCAGTTCACTTGGCTATGTAGTCACCTCAGGCTAGTGTCACGTGTGGTGAATGAAGCAGCCTCTCAGCGGCTCAATTTGTAAATCTGCAATTCTCTCACTGACAGTCTGAAGGTGTAAGAGAACCATCTTATTGGATGAGTAGGAAGCCATCAGGTAGGACAAGGGTAGCCATCCATACTAGCCAAGAAGAAGTTCTTGACCAGTGAGCAATGAGCATCCCCCGGATGCAAGTCACGCGCAAATATGTTGCCTTGATGCCCTTATTTGTCGATATTAAGCAGTGACAGAGAGACCTTCTGGAATGATCTCGATCGGTTGATCGCCCCCCACTCCTGGTGCCCACTGTGGGAGTGAGCATCAGCATCAGCATCGCTTGACAGTGTTCACACCTTTCACCATATCGAGTTTAAGATGACACTCCTCCGACCGTTAGATGCTTTTGCCCTTTTATTGACAGCTAGATTCGTTTGAGACTTGAGTCGATCTCTCTAGTCAACATACCATGGCAAGCTTTCAAGGATCTCTTCATAATTTGGCAGACTCAGGCAGAGTCCAAATTGAATGAACACTCCAACCATTATGGCATCATCCATTCATTTATTCATTTGTTTGACCGATCAATCAATCAATCAACCACGGATTCGAACTTCGAAGTAGAGTCTTAGTAGAGACTAATAAGAGTCACCTGTCAACAGATTAGGCAGATGTCAGAACTCCGAAGTGCCTCCATGATCAGCTTCCACGTCTACAAACGGTCACCCCCTCCTCCCCCCCCCTTCCCCCCCAGCCCTTCGCCCGGAATCGCCCCCCTGCCACCGCACGGCGCATGATAGCTGTGTGTACTTAGTCAGGTCCCAAAAGCATAGTACAGTGGAACCGATGGTTCTCGCTTTCACTTGTCAATGACAGGAATCCTCTATCTTACATAGTCAGATGACTCAGATCTGACGCTGCTGCACGAACTGTTGGGTGAACGCGGACGAGTTTGCTTCCCTATCATTGTATGCCGAGTCAAACACCTGCATAGCAGTCCTCCCCGAGTCCCCTCTGCCCCCACCCCCCTCCGCCCGGGCCGCCCCCTCTCACTCTCTACACTGAGTCTACAGATTGTCTCTTGCTGCCCGACGGTGTCTGTCTTAATTATTAGGTCCGATATCGAGTTGTCCGCGTTGTCTCACATGCCCGAACTGCTGAATCGGTAATTAAAACCCATCATGATCAGTAAACCTCAACAGTGCCCGACGCCCGTCATGCTAGTCATTGACTCCCTAGCTATGGTTCATTTCTTCAGAATCTACAATGGTCCAAGCTGTGCTCTTTTCCGCTTCACGGCTATTCACAACATTACCATCATGAGTACTAGGTCATGATCATAATGTTGCCCAGCACCATAGGTGCTTTTGGGAGAACGTTTACGTCGTTTAGGCCTTGCCGCCTTGGCCATTCTATAGAATCTGTAGTTACTGCCGAGGAGTAGAGCGTTCACTCTTAGTAGAGGACTGTTGTCGTCAACTCCTGCTCCGGTCAATCTATGTGTAGTATGCCGAGTCGGAGTCCATGTGTTGGGGAGGTAGGTGTCGCAGTGGGTCCTGAGTGGGAATGCGGCAGCACGGACAATTTGGGGTCCTTGGGGAGGGGTTAGAGCATCAGGGGGCTTACACACATCGAGCTGGGTAGCAGAACAGATTGCTGTTGGCGTTTCCCCATGAAGAGGACCCTAGTAAAGAATTGCTCTTCATGGGAAAGAGACTAGCGGTGAAGGAATGAGTGGACACTGGAGAGTGGGTATGGGGAGGAACTAGAGTATAACTACAGAGAGCGATAGACGGTTTCTGCTCGCAGGTAGCCAGGAGAGCTCAGCTTCGAATAGGCAATAGCCACAATATGTCTTCTTGTCGCCGTTGTCAGTGTTCCCCCCTGCTATCATTGTTATGGTGATTCTTATTTGTTTAACACTTACTAGTTCATAGCTTAATAGTATCCGATCCACACTTAGTATATTTGTTCTGGATTAGCTACTTTAAGTACGGGTCGTCCTGTCTAATGTGTCTCCTATACTTCTAATCACATACTAGGACTATCACCTCCAAGTTTCCAACCTCCAGTCACTGGCAGTCAGTACATGCCACTTGTCGTTTCATTTTTACCACCGTACTCAGCGTACTGGTCCCTAATTTTCTAGTAACTACAAGGTGCCGATGTGCCACAGAGAGCCAATTAGTGACAACTTGAAGTCAAACTCAGTAAAGTACTAAAGTCAAACTCAACTGTTGTGCAATGTTCACTGGCTACCGGCTGCAAGTCATACCGCATCTCCACCGTGACGTGTGTTAGGTTGGCGAACTTGGCCATGATAGCAGATAACATCCAGATGACTCAGATGTGAGGACCTGGTCTGGATTCGGTCCTTTGCCTCCTGAAGGTCGTCAGCCTGTCTGCACTTGAGGATGTGCTTATTCCGGTAGGGGGATTAACCTCCAGGCCCTCCACAGTTGGATGCTGAGGACTCGGGGACTCGGGGAAGAACAGGTGGCGACAGATTGCAGCTCCACGTCAATCTGATCTCATTGGTATCACCGGCCGACCTGATCGACGCACGGATCTCACGCTGTAGGTGCGCCAAGTGGCAAGTGCATCTAAATGGGGCTCCATGACTTTTGCAATCCAATTTCAAATTGAAGTTTCTACTCACCGTTGCTCAGCATTGAGTCAGCAATGCCAGCAGCATGACCTGTTCATTGGGCTCCACGGCTGGCGGGTGTTCAGTCCATGACATTGTCGACGTTGTCTTCCTCCCTACCGTGCATCCATAATCCATTCTCCATTGGATTCCAAGGTGATTCAAGCGAGTACTCGGTGCAGAGAAGACAGATTCTGAACCTGAGGTTGTTACCAGGCAAGGGCACGTTATCTGCTTTACAAAGAGTGGCACAAAAGGGTTTAAAGGGGTCCAAGCCAGCACTTTTGGTTAGTATGGTTATGGGCCTTATCATCCGCCTTATGGCGAGCTCAGGGCTCCGATTCCCCTCAGAATCTGTCGAGGCCACATAGAAACCCCGGAGTGATGGTACCTCACCATACACAAACTTATCTTCAACAGTCTTCAACTTATCCACAAAATTATCCACATTACTAACTGCAACTTATCCACATCATCTGCAGGCTGCAGCAAAGTATCCACAAATTATCCACATCAAGCTCTACAACTTATCCACGTCATCTGCAACTTATCCACAAAATTATAACCACATTAATCATTAATATCTGCAACTTGTCCGCCAATTATCCACCTTATCTGCACATTATCCACAACATTATCCACAAAGTTATCTGCACCTTATCCACAAGATTATCCACCTAGTACTTAATATGATATGCTAGCTCAATCTCTTTACCGCTCTTAACTTCTCTGTCCAGTTTGTCCAGTCTGTCCAGTCTGTCCAGTATGTCCAGATACCTAAACGCTTGATATCCACCTACCTATCCACACCAACTACCTCCACTGGCAGCCACTTATCCCCTTGTCGCTGTCCACCTTCGGAACACCAAGATATCAAAACATAAGTATGCACGTGCTTCTCCACACACTTATATCCACTTGACCGACCACCTACCTCACGGTCCTCACTTATCCTCTCTCCCCCATCAGGTCACCCCCACCACTCCCGTTCCGCTGCCCGTTCCGCTGCGAGCTGAGGACATCACTCAAGGCTGGGGCGTCTGAGGCTCTGAGCTGGATGAAAGGATGACGTTGGGATCTGCAATTGCGTTCCCACCTGACACAGTGACTACAAACTGAGGGGGAAATACCTGACTCAAGGAGTACCAACTTCAAGTTTGGCAGCCGGTAAATACCCCCTGCAAATATCTCTTGCAAGTCCTGAGGACCTGAACAGCGACCCCTTTGAATCCGGAAATTCCTAGCGAATCTGCAACCCTACCCTTTCACAGACAGAATCCACCCAGGGCCTCCTGTGGACCTATTGGGCCATGCCAATACGGGGACTCGGGGAGAATCCAGGTGTCTTGCATTTTCCATTGGGCAAGAGCCCAAGGCATAGTCGGCAAATCGGGAAATCGGGATCACCGTTGGTCTACCTAGTGTTGGACACAAACAGCAAGCATTCATTTCCTCTCTGTACAGACTCTGACAGTGTGCTCTGGCAATCTGCTCTGTCTCCGAGTCGAAGAAAGATAGCATTCTACTTTTAGCACTGTCTCGCAGTGCGGTAGAAAAGAAGCAAAAGATAGCATTCTATTTTTAGAAAAGAAATATGGCGTGCGGGACACTAACAATTTGACACTTCAGACATGTTTCATTTAGCGACAGTTACAGCTTCTACTACTCGAAAGCTGTTTTTTTGCCAAACCTTCTTGCGCTTTATCGCGGTTCTGGCCCTTCTGGGGGCTTGGGCCGCTTGGCCCCTTGGCGGCTTGGGGGCTGGGAGGGTGGGGCCGCAGGAGTGGGGGGCCCTCCCGTTCATGGGAGAGAGTAGGATAGTCCGAAAGCCAGCGGGTGTGTAAGTAATGAGAGCCACAGAGAGAGAGAGAGAGAGAGAGAGAGAGAGAGAGAGAGAGAGAGAGAGAGAGAGAGAGAGAGAGTTAAGTGGAGAGAAATAAGCATTCTTCCAAAAGAACGTGGTCACCGTGGTGGTTAAACAAGCTCGTCAGCAATCAATTAGCCCCCCCCACGCCCCACCTTATCTCTGTGGAACTA